TAATGATGAGGAGCAACGTGAAAGATAGTAAAAACTCGTCTGGGACCCACAGCGACTCCACAATCCCCCGGCCTCTCCTCCTCCTCCTCCTCTTCCTCCTCCTCCTCCTCTTCCTCCTCCTCCTCTCTACTCATCCTCCTCCTCCTCCTCCTCCTCCTCCTCCTCTCCTCCTCCTCCTCTCTCTCCCCTCCTCCTCATTTCCTCCTCCTCCTCCTCCTCTCCTCCTCTCCTCTCCTCCTCTCTCCTCCCCCCCCTCCCTCTTTCCCCTCATTCTGACAGTCCCGGGGGCCCGTGGAAGGGCCCGAGTCAGCGGCACCGTCACGGGTAATTTTCAACGACGGGTTACTGAGAAAGTTGCCGAGATGTCTCTTTAGTGCTTCTTTCTGGCCCGGCCTCGCTCTGATTATTTTGTTTTCTTTTTTTTTTTTCTTTTTTTTTTTTTTTTTGGTTTCTTTTTTTACTGAGGCTGCGCCCTCCCCCCCCCCCCCTCGTTGCTAATTCAAGCTTCGCGCCGAAGCGGGCCCGCTTAGCTTCGACGGACGAGGGTGCTCTCGACCCGCGAATCAAATATGCTTCTTTATGGGCATTGCAGCATTGCCACATCGGGGAGGGACGGGTTCGCCAGAGACCAGTTCCGTGGCGCCCCAGTGGAGAGCGCCTGACCGAGCCGCAGCAAAACTGACGAACGAACAACTTTCGCCCACCCATACCCCATGGGGGGGCGGAGGTCGCCATGGGTGCGGTCGTCGGTTGGGGTCCCGCCCGAACGGGAAGCTTCACCAGGGTCTGGACAACCCGCACCCATTACCCGTGGCCAGTCCTCCCCCTCCGAGCCTCCTACGGGTACACCTTAGGCGATGCTCAAGAAAAACATTAAGTTTTCGGGCCAGAGTCTCGGATTATTCCTACTGTCTTCAATGTAAACTTAAGATTTTAATAGAAATGTTTGCGTTTTTATTCAAGTTCTGAGGACTAGTATGAATTCTTCTTCTTTTTTTTCTTTTTTCTGATTTTCTTACCATGATTTCTTAAGCATTTCGCAGGGTGTATGGGTGTGCGTTGTTCGGTCGTCCAAAGCGGCGAGGGGCCTCGGGGCCCGTCTCCCTGCGGGAGCCGCCGCCGCCGGGGCGGGCGGTGCGCGGGTCGCCCGCGCGGCGTCGGAGCCGCGTCGGAGCCCCCCGCGCGGCCGGCGTCGGTGGCGCGCCGGGCGCGGGCGCCGCGCCGCAGGGCCCCGACGGGCACGGGCCGTGAGGCTGTTGTCCGTCTTCGGGTGCCTGCGGCCCTCCAGCGCTCCTACTATTCCTCCTCCTTCCTCCTCCTTCCTCCTCCTTCCTCCTCCTTCCTCCTTCCTCCTCCTTCCTCCTCCCTCCTCCTCCTTCCTCCTTCCTCCTCCTTCCTCTTCCTCTCCTTCCTCCTTCCTCCTCCTCCCGGACTGCGAGGAAGCGGCTCAGGATGAACCGAGCAGTGGCGAAGCGTCCCGGCCTGCCTAGAGAGCCACCCAAGACTGTTCTAAGACCCTCTCGCGGTTGGCTGAACTTGTCCAGCTCGTAGTGTGTGGACTTCTTGTTTTAAGGACATGAGTTGCGTTCCGAGAACATTCTTCTGTCCTAACAACACCCCGTGGTAGGACTTTAGGAATGTCTGGACGGTCCGTCCTTGCTTAATTGAAGAGCCTCGAGGTCCAGCACCGGGTTCTTCAGGACCCGGTTCTATCATGGCAAGCGATGCCGGGCCGCCGTCCGTGATAACCCCGTGCCCCCAGAGGCTCCGCGTGCTTCTGCACCGCACCCCCCGCGGAGGTACCCTCTCATTGTATGGCAGGGGGTCAGCGTCAGCCAAACAGGCGCTGGCGAGCCTTTGTGCACCGAATGTGGCCGCTCGGTCATTCTCATCTTCATCCTCCTCGTTATCGTTTTCGCCACCCTCATCCTCATGCTGGTCCTCATCCACATGATCATCGCACGCATTCGCATTGTTGTACTCGCCCTTCCGATCAACACCACCATCATCGTCATCATACTCAGTGCCTCACCGTTCACCATGGTCACCATCCTGAAGCTTACCAACGCCTTCGTCACACTCCTCACCTAAGTCTCCATGCCGAGCCCCACGTGTGTTCCGGCCACTGTGCAACGCACTTGACTATGCTGGCCACGCGCAGAAGGGGGTAGGGGGAGGGGCCCCGGGGGAAGGCTTCTTAGAAGCACCCCTGCTTCTTAGAAGCAGCCTTCTTCTAAGAAGCCGTCCCCCCTCCCCCTACCCCCTTGTGCGCGCCGCCAACTATGCTTGATCGTTTCAGGGCTTCCGCGTTGCTTTCCCAACCATCGTGTCTTGACGGCAGTGCGCGCTGGCGTGCGCCGCACGCGCAGGCCAGATTTAGGCGCGCACGCTGCTTGCAAGGGGCTGAGGCATGGCGAAACCTGGCACACCAACTCGCGATGGCCGGCCAAGGGATGCAATCGGATGGCGGCGAGCCGCACGTGGAGTTCTCTTGAATTGGAAATGAAGTGCTTTTGACTTACGTATCACACTGCCCTTGCCAAGTCCTGGGCCAGTGACAAGCATAACCTCCTGCTCGTCTTTGTCTGACCTCTCCGAGGAGGTCGAGACCACGAAGCATCGAGACTGTCGCCAGCTCCGCCGACTCGGGTGCTCAAGTAGTTCGAGTCAGTCAGCGGGCGCGTCGCAGCTCAGCATACGCCAGATCAAGACACATCCACAGAAAGGTCGCGGTGATCACCGATTAGGTGGACGATTCCAGCATGCAATCAATTGTTGCAGCAGCCGCAAGCGGCACGTGTTCGCAGACCCCAAGGTGTGCATCTTCTGCCCCACCACACTTCGAAGTCAGGGGACGTAGTCTGAAGCTTCAGAGATCATACCACCTGCATGGGGGAGGGCCGAGCTGACTTTTCCCTCGTCGCAGGCAGGGCCAAGGACGTGTACGCGCCCCCCTGCCTTCTGCAGAGTGAGTGGGTCTGGGGCGGGCCGCAGGGGTGGGAGGGTCGGGGTGGGGAGCGGTTTTTGTTCAGCACTGCCAAGGGCGAGGGTTTCGGGCATCACGAAACATGCGTTTCGACGGAGAAGCGATACCGCGAACGTAGGGATCAAGCGAACATGTTGATCACGGACCAGCGGTAGGGAGGTCGGGGAATGGCGCAAGTTTCAATTCACCCACAACATTTACAAGGGAATTGTGCCAGATAGCCACAGCACCTGCGCAACCCACAGTTTCAGAGAGGCGTCGACGCCGGACGTCGGCGGCGAGCCCAGGGGGAAGTCGGACGCGACGGGCCCTCTCGGAAGGCTCGAAGTCCCCCAGTCTGTTGAAAAGTTCTCCGAGCTTCCCCCGAAGACACCGAAAACGTCTCGGCGGGCGCGAGGGTTTCTGAGAAGCCCCTCCCTCTTCTGAGACGGCCTTCTCGTTCTCGCTCCATCCCCTCGCTCGCCGCCGAGGGATGCGCTGATGGAGAACTTGACGTCGCGAGTCCAAATGCAAAAGGCGGCGATCGCGGGAAGCTCTCGGAAGGCCTCGTGAAGGCCGTGTCCGACAGTGTTGCGGATGCGTTGATGGAGAATTGACGTCGCGCGTCCAACAGCAAAAGGGTGCCCGTGAGAAGGCGGCCGTCGAGCTGGCGTTGCCTGCCAGGGGGACTCTGCAAAGCTCAGGCTCAGGTGCGCTTCCCGCGTTGAGGACCGCCGTGAGCTCGGACTGGGAGTAGTCGGCTTCCCATCCCCAATGCTTATCGTCCGTGCTCATCGTCCTCATGCTTTTATTCAGCAGCTTCTCCCTCTCAATGTTGCAGCTAGCCTTGGGGCCAGCTGGGGGGCAAAGGTTGCGGCCAGCAGGAGGGGCTGAAAGGGGCCCCCTCGTCACCACAGCTGCACGGGTCTCGAACACCGGCTCAGTTTCGACATTGGAAAAGGGTCCAGGGACCGATGTTAGCCAGATTTGCCCTCATCCTCCCCTCTTGACCGATGTGTTGTGAGCTCACCTAGCTTAGATACCCTCCCCAGGACACCTCCAAAGCCTTCACACTCCTCATCCCTATCATCATCCCCTATCATCATCAGAATCATCAGCATCAGCATCAGCATCATCATTCCCGTCCTCATATCTGATTTCTTCTGTACTCCCCATCTCCACCCCGATCCCATGTTTTAGCCATCATCGTCCTGATCGCCGTTCTTGTCCTCGCCCCCGTCCTCGTCTCTGTCCTCATCATCCATTGCCCTCTCTCCCTCACCCTGCCCCCCCCCAGCCCCATCCTCCCTCCCTCTCTTCTCTCCCTGCCCTCCCCCTCCCCACTGCCCCTCCCATTTCCCCATCTCTCTCTTTCTCTTTCGCTCTCCCACCTCCTCCTTCAGGATATCCGGTATGGCGCGATCGCATCTCGCTTGCCCCATGTCCTCTCTCCCGCTCTCCTTTCCCCCATTCCACTCCCCTGCCTCTTCTGTGGTGGCCTGCTTCTGGCGACGCGCGGGCTGCGCTGCGCGGTGCTGTTCGGAAGCGCACCGGCGCGTGCCAGGACGACTCTCGGGGTGGAGAGCCGCCCGACGGCAGCCTGGCCTCAAGTCACGGGGCAATTGCGTCCATGCGGTCCAGACGCCCGTCCGACTCAAAGCATTGTCTCCCCCTCTCGGCCTTCAACCTCCATCGCCTCCCATCCCTCCCTCCACGCCTTTCCCCTCGTCCTTTCCTCTGCAGTCAACCCGCACAGTAAGGACGAGCGGTTTCCCAGGGTCACCCTTGCATCCTTCCCCTTCGGCCCATCCTTGGCCGCTCTTGCTGGCCGCGCCCCGCTCGCAGACCCGACACGGCCTTCCCAGCTCCCAGCCCCTCGCATCCTTCTCGTGCATCCTTATTTCGGGGTTTACTGTACTCCCTCCTCTCCCTCCTCTCCCTCCCTTCCTTCACTCTGTTCCGCCCTCCGCTCCTCCTCCTCCTCCTCCTCCTCCTCCTCCTCCTTTCGCCCTTCACTCCTCCTCTCCCTTCCGAGAACGGGAGGTGAACCGCCGGCTGCAGGCGATGCTGGTGCAGCAGGGGGCCGACCCCGTGGCGTCGCAGTGGGACTGGGCCACCGAGCGGGGCCCGGCGTCGGCGAGGGCGGACCCGATGGCCGCGACGTGGCCCGCAAAGGTCCGCAGCAGCGTCAGCGTCGGCTTCCTTCCCGAGCCGCCAGGGACCGCGCCGGTGTCGATGCGCCG